ATATCTAAGCCCTGACGATTCATTTCACCGCTGTGAGTTTTTTGTACTCACAAAGAGCTCTTTCTTGCTGTACAGAAAAGGGAATAAAAATCTTGAAAAGACAGGGCCATTAATGATTAATGATAGACATTTAACATTCAAAAAAATCACCAAGTTGAAAACGTGTTTCCACAGTCAAATTTTATTTCAAGCACTTTTACTCCTTTGCAAGCTTTATTAGTTGGTGGTAAAATGCCAGTTGATACTGAGCAATCACTAACCTAAAGTTTATTGACTTCAATTTGTTAGCTATAATTATTACTATTTTTAATGTGCTATTGCTAATATTCTTCAAAAAAAAGACTGCTCAGTGATGAGAGAATGGAAAAGGGAAATAAAATGCTAGTTGATATGTTAAAGTTAGTAGTGATAGGACTGAGTGGGTAATGAAACTGAAGATGCGAGTGATTTAAGCCCGTTACGCTGGGTGACTGTACAGCACAGTTAGTGCTGTAACTCATAATCAGTAATGTTCAAAATTACTGGTGATTCCTTTCTCAGGTCTTTTTTCTTATGAGCTTAGCTCATTTCACTGTCTGCTACTCTGCTCCCAAATCATGCTTTCAGCTGAAAGGCTGTATAAAGGAAGATGGCATTTGGAATGGCCAGCTGATACTTTACATTGACAAATGCAGCATGCAAATGGATTTGAAAGTTCAATAAAAAAAGTTCCAGTGAACTTCTGGCCAAAACTTGGACAGCATGTCATTGAAGAGAAGGCATACTAAGAGCTGCCTGCTGTGGTGAAGACGCTTTACTGGAAGGGCAAACCTAGGTCACGTAGTTTCCTCTACCTTCCTCAGTACCACACCTCTATGTTTTTGGGTTTGGATCCCAGCAGTGAACCCACCAAACAGATCCAGGGTAATGCTTCCCTGTGAATAGTCCTGGACTCGGGAGTGGTGAGTGGCTTTTATTTTCAGTGTACAGGGGACTGCCAGTGGTTTACCACTTGGCTGAAATAAATGAAAAATTACATTAGCTGCCTTTGGCACTTGTGAATTTGTCCACACCTTCTTCATCAGAGAGTAGAAGCCTGTTCTGTAGTAATGCTTGGTGGAGATCTCATACAGATGTTTTTCCCCCTTTGAAGTGAACTGCTGCCACAGTCATGCTTTGTGGACAGTTAGTTCTTAAAGTAATTGCTCCATCTTCTGTAATCCTCTGGGAAGGGGAGCTCTTTAGAGACAGATTTTAAATCAGCTTGGAGATGTATACAAAAAGATCCAGAAAAAAACAGAGACTATTCTTGACTGCTGATTTTGGCTTGAATGTATCTTGAAGGCTTAGCCTGTCTACTTAGTTCTCAGTAATTGTTTTCTTTTTTTTTTTTGTTCCAAATTGTTTTATTTTTTTAAGCATGCAGAATCATTTTCCGATGTCAGTGACTGGATAGTTGGATGACATGAAGCCACCACTGACTTAGATTAAAGGACTGGAGGATTGCTGGTAGTTTCAGCAGTAGCTCAGTATGCTCCAGGATTAAGACCAATACATAACTAAAACTGCATATTGTTTCAAAGCACCACGCTATAAATGTTTGTTTTCAAACATTTACCAGATACCTCAAGCTTAAAAAAATAATTAAAATAAGGCTTGTATGAATTCCTCTGTATAATAATTTCAAAGAGTTCAAATCTGTCACCCACTAGAAGTTGAGAGTTTATCAGCAGATCACAGGTTAATGGGAGGCAGCAGCCAAACCGTAGGGTAGGAAAAAATAGAAAAAATATATCAATGAACATTCAAACATGAATGCTTTTAGCCATTGTCAGTGAACGTGACAGCTGTTGTGTGACAACGAATTCAAATGTAGTTATATAATCCATTGTTTTTTTCCTCCCCCCCTCCCCCAAGGAAAAGGAAGTATGCTATTAACAGTGCTATATAGCACTTAAATACAATGTAAATGTTACACATACTGTATTTAATTTTGAAAATTTAGATTGAGAAAACTAGAATGAGAAATATAAAACCCCTTCACAGGTCTCTTTCAAAATGCAAATTTATGTCTCAAGGGGCCAGTGGAACTTAAAGTATAAATACAGTTAAAAACACATATTACTGAATTGATAGAGCATGACAGTTCCCTTGCTTAGGCAGCATTATGCTCTATCTTGTAACATGTACTTGGGGACATGTAAAATGGTTTATTAAACCTACAGTCCATAACTACAGTTGTTACATTATAATGTATATATTTTACATTCATGGATTATTGAACCACTAAACCCTAACAATTTGTCCTCATGCCAAACAATTTCTTTGAGTGTTGTCCGAGTCTTTTCAGTAACTGTGTAACTGTTGGAACATACCCCAAATCCTCAAATTTTAAAGCTATTTTTCAGCACCCCCCTCTATACAAATATACATTTAAAAGCACGCAAGGAAGAAAGTTCCTGTTTACTTTTACATAAAATGCTTTCACAGAAAGAAATCCATGAGGTATTTCTGGGTAGGAGATCTGCAGTTTTGGGGAGAAAATTCTTGAATGTAAAGTGTTGTCTATAACCACGAGGGATGAATACAAAAAGAAATAAGGAAAATAACTACATATTCTGTTGCGTGAACCATTTTTCTCAAAACTTAGGGATGGCTTGTTATTTAGAGACTGTCTTTCTTCCTACTTTTACATGGCATATTGTTCTTTCATGCTAGTGAAAAGTTGGCAGAAGTTATAAACCAGTGGTGATTAACCCTATTAGGTATGCCAAATGATTTCAGGGTGTTGGATTTGGACTGTATTTACTTTCCGTTTTCTTCCACTGTTATTAGAAATAACTCTAGGGAAGAAGCAGAACTACAAAGAGCTGAAAAGTAAGAAAGTAGCACCTCTTCTCTGCATTTTCCAAGGCCCCAAATAAGTGATATTCATAGTACATAAAATATCTCTATTGATCTGAAACATCTCATTGCTGTGTTGTACCAACGGCTCTCCTACAAACACATATCTAGAATCTGTTATTCATCTCATGCCTGAAGAGAAACAGGAACTGAGAAAGTTAATGGATATAACTCTGTGGTCTAGACTTCAAGATTTTCAATGACAAAGTATCCGTCTAAAAGATCTCTTACTGGTGTTGATTTTATGAACATTATCGATGAAATAACTTTCAGCAAAGCAACAATGCCATAGTGTTTGTGAAATGGCACACCGAGGAACAAAATGAGTAAAATCACAGACGGTGTCTTTATTTTTTTTCCATCTGGAAAAAGATGACTGGTTTAGAGAGTAATAGAGCAAATTTAGAAAGGGAATGATATGTGCTCTAAATGCGCATATTTGTGTTATTACAGGGCAAAATCTCTTGTCTGTAAAGAAATATAGATGTTTCAAACATTTTCTGAAGAAAAGGAATTTATACAAGGCAAGTTTTGTAAGGACAATTTTTCCTTTATTTTTACTTGGTGGATCTTTGCTGTGTTAGGAATACTGATTTCCATGAGATATAACCTTTAGCTTACTTTTTCTGTGATTCTCCTTCTCCTTTTTTTCTGTTCTCTCTGGTTGTTATTATTACAACATTTCAAATTATTTATTCTGAGGTGTTTCCATGAGCAGAAAATTTCTTACAGAAGAATACAGCCAAATTACATAAGAGTTTATTTTGTTTGCTTCTGACTGAGAAATGGTTTTACCGTCCCTTAGGCTATAAACTGTTTTTTCAGGCTGTAAGAGTCTATGCTGTCTTTGCAGGTATGGTTAATGACCAGACTCCTTGAATCCCTTATATTTGCCTCAAATCCCTTTTTAGTTTGTGCTGATGAGGAAGCACTGTACAGGACCTAAGGGTTGCACTGAAACTTTCTACTATAGCATCTAATACAACAGTGAGCATTTACCAGATCACCTGTTATCTGGGACTGCTAAGTTCCGTTCTCAACAGAATCAATTTAGGAACTCTGTTCAGATTGCTTTCTTGAAGACTATTTTATTGTTTGTAAGATGTGAATTAAGCACCTGTTATTAATATAGATTACAAATGCAATGCAATATTTTCAGTATCTTTCATTTCAAGCTAGTGACTATTTAATCAGTTTTACCATTTTAAATAAGAAAATCATTCCCCTTTTAAGTTATCGTAAATGTTAATTAAACTTTCTTGCACCAAAATACTCTTCAGAATAATTGAATATTGCTTACAGACAGATGCTTCTGGACATTGCCAAACCATTTATTTAAGATAAGAGTTAGTAGAAAATCATCCTAGATTTTTTTTTCCTATGAAAACAGTAATTTATTTTAAAAAGGTATTTCAGTTATTTAGCGGGTTTTTTTTTGTTTCTACAAAGATTACCATCCTTGTAATCTTTCTCCTTCTCTATATGTGTATTGTATACAGATAATTTTTTTTTTTTTGGTGTTTTTTCATCAGGTAGCTTTTGGTATTAACTACATAGTCTCCATATTCTTAAATCATGAACAACACCATATTAAAACTGGAAAATGAAAAATCTATGACAGACAAAGTTTGAAAAATAGGAATAAAATGGGAAAGCACACTTGCATGTACATAAATAGACAAAATAATGAATGGAAATAATCTACATTTTACTCGTCAAATTTAAGTGTAACATTTTTAAGAATCACAGTCATCAAAACTGACCTTTTCATCTTCTGTAGTAATAGTAAGAATTCCTCCTTTTTTTTTTCTTTTTTTTCTTCACCTGTTTCTATCAGAGCCAGGATCAAAAAAGAAGTTGTTACACTTACATGTCAAGAATCATGACATCTGGAGAAAAGCAGAATGCATTATTTCTCGGTGAGAGTGTTATACAATAAGACTTGACTGACATTTTGCAAAATCTGAGATGCTTTCTGATCAGTTGATTTAATTAAAACAAGATATTCAGTTCTGCGCAATGCTTGTGCATAATCTATTTTAAGCCTTTTAAACATACAAGTATATAGTGTAAAATGGTATTAGATTGACTTGAATGACTTGTCATTCTATTTGCAGATACCTCAAATCAGCTATGCATCTACAGCTCCAGAATTAAGTGATAACACCAGGTATGACTTCTTCTCTCGAGTGGTCCCACCGGACTCCTACCAAGCACAGGCCATGGTTGACATCGTGATGGCCCTTGGATGGAACTACGTGTCGACGCTGGCTTCCGAAGGCAACTATGGAGAGAGTGGCGTGGAGGCATTTACTCAGATCTCAAGAGAAATTGGTGAGTGTATGTTTATCAGGTTTTGTATTTATAGCTGCCGGGTTACAAAGCATTGCTGAGCTCTGCCTAGGTCTATGCAGTGTGATCAGAACACCTGCAGGAGTGTTACCTGGACTGAAGTGGAGGGGTTTATGGATGATTTTGCTGCTCACGCGTCTACCAGGGTGACAGTTCTGGCAGTAATTTAAGAAGAGCTCCTGAAGAGACATACATTTTTTGCCTCTCTCCCCTTTTGGAAAGGGGAGTTAGGGGCAAAAAACAACCACCAGCTAAATTACAGCCAGTTTTGAGGAGATGCAATTGATTTATCTTAGGAAAATCATAATCCAATAAGACCTCATTTTCCATGTTCCAGCACTGATAAATCTTGGGTTTTTAGTTTTGATGAATTTGAAAAACAACAAAAAAATCTGTGAAGTACAAAGACATACCCTTGTTGTTTTTCCTTCAGGATGAAATGTGCTGTATAAATACAGGCATTATTATGGGAAGTATATTTAAGTCCCTTTGATATTTTTTTCCCCATACTTCCATAGTTATTTCTGGCCTGCAGAAGCAGGATTTCTCAGGAGCAGTAGGTTTTGGACACCAAGGAATAGGTTGATGAGTAGCAGGTGGTTTGAAAGAGGGCGGTACACTAAGTACAGTGTTAAATGACACAAAATAATATCCTTTCAAAAAAAATTTTAAAAATTGCAAACAGCCTTCCTGTCCTTCCTCAGAAAGCCTGGATTAATCTACTGGATTTGACTTTCAGGGCATGTACATATGAACTCTGGTTCTTTCAAGTCAGCTTGGGTGAGAAAATATCTTCCATTTTCAATAACCGCACGTAAATATAGAGACCATCTCAGTCATATAGGAAGACACGTGTGTGTCTCAGGTACTTGTGTTTGAACCATAAAGGTTACTGATTACTCACAACAATTTGGCAGTAAGACAAAAACGCAGTGATTCATGCCATTAGGGAACCAGTGAGTATAATATGCTCGATCAGTTAACTAATAAATATTCTGTTTCTAGCTTCTAATCAATGCTGTCAGATCCTAGATGTTTTCATGAGAAAGCCAAGACTGACTACTATACAGTGGTTTGATCTGGAGTTAGCAAAGGCTTGGATAATTCTTCCACAGTTCATATCTAAAAGAGACGGTTTATCTATTGTGTTAGATACAGCAGTGAATAGATTGGCTGCCCCCGACATTCACTGAGTTGAAATTGACTGAAAAATTTTTCATTGGCTGAAAAATCACTTTTTCTTGAAACAACCTGCAGCCCAGCTAGCTCTGCTGAGTCCGTAAGGTAGACAGATAAAGTGCTCAGGACTTTTTTTACTGTTTCTCATTTCCAGAAACATGAGAGTTCTTCAGATGGGTGCAAGAACAACAACGGTGATTTCATTATAATCACAATGACTTGAGTTTGTGTCAGTTGGATCTTGATCGATCCTAGAATAAAAAAAGACCATTGTCATTTGGTAAACAAAAATATTAATAGGATTAATTAAATAAATATTATTAATAAGATTGTGAATCCAAAACAATTAAAATCATGAATGGGTGTCCTAAACATTACAAGATCTGCATAATACCAAGACGCATAAAAAGTGGTGATTCCCCTTATGACTTGTGTTCTCTACTAGAGCACTTGATTTTGGTAACCTCTGAGCTCATAGCAACTTACCAACTATTATGGGTACTGGGGACTCACATGGTTCTGAAGAAGGAAAGCAGAGGAGAAGCAGGACAGGCAAATAACTTTTAATTCCTAGAAAAATGTTGAAATAAATAATCGGGTAAATTATAAGTAACCACAGGGACATGATCAATAGCCAGTGCAGAGTTGTCAAGAACAAATAGTATCAAAGCCATCTAAAAATTTTCTTTGACAGGATAACAGCTTTGTAGCTGGAGAAGAACCACTTGATGTCATGTCTCTTGAATTTAGTAATGTTATCTCAACTGTTGCATACAGTATTCTCCTGAGCAAATTTGGGCATTGTGATCTAGGTGAAAATATCATAGGCTGGATGCAGACCCATTCAGAAAACTTTGCTCAGAGTGTAATTAGCAATGGTTTCTATTTAAAAGGAAGAATGTGTTGTGTGGTATTTGGCAGGTGTTTTTGCTGGATCAAGTACTAGCCAATATTTTCATGTTTAGTCTAGAGGGACTTGGAATGAAGGATATGCTTGTAAAATCTGGAGGTGACTTCAAGCTGGGAAGGACTAGGAGTGTATTGGAAGAGATTCTTAGAGTCCAAAACTGAAGATATGGTCTGAAAAAATAGTATGCAATTTAAGAGACAAATGCAAGGCATTGTGCTTCAGCAAGAAGGATCTGTACAATGAGGAATACAGAAAGACTGGTCAGAAAATGCTATCTCAAAAAATGATCTGAGCATGACAGTAAACAGTACAGTAACCTGCCTCTATTCCTCATGTTTTACTGGAACATGCAGATGGGCATACCATCTGTAAAATAATTTGGGTAATCCTCCAATTTGCCTGGCAGTGTGAAACCTCATTTTGACTCAGTACACATTTTGACCCTCACTTCACAAAAGGTGAGAGACTCCGCAAGCGAGAACAAAGACAATCACAAATCTTGAAAAGGTGGTCTGTGAGGAGCAACTGAGCAAGGTGGTTTGTTAGCCTGCAGAAGAGCTGACTAAGAAGGGAAGGTGATGGAAAACAATGTTTTCAAATAGACAAATGGCTTTTACAGAAAGGTAGAGGACCACTTGTTCATCCAAATACAGTGTATGTGAACAGAAGTAATGGAATTAATCTCTAGCATGATTCCGTTTAGATTTGGAGAAAGCTCCTTTTAATGGTTAAGACATTAAAGCATTAGACCAGATTGCTTGGGGACATTTTGGAGCCTCCATTGCTGAGGATCAGGGAGAATGCATTAGACAAACACCTGCCCAGGGATACTTAGTTCTTCCTTGGGGCTGGGAGGTGGATCCAATGATTTCTTAATATCCCTTCCAGCCTGATTCTATTATCCACTGTCCTCAGACTTTTCATCTGAACCATAGGGCTGGAAACGCTTTTAAAATGGAAAGTTCAAATAGCATCTAATTATGAGGTCTGAGACAATAGAGTCTAGGCAGGTTTATAAAAATCATCGCATAGTATAAGACTGCACACAAAACAATAAAATTACCAGCTATATGTTAATAAACTGTGTGTTAAGAGAACTTAATCAGAACATTGCTCCCCTTGTGCTGCTGGCATACAAATGTACGGGACAGCTCAACTCCTTTCTGAGTACTTTACATCTTGTTTAAGATAAGTAGCCAACAACTGGAAGCAAAATGAATGTGAAGATAAGCATAATGGAAAGCAATAAATCTGAGGAAAGGATGTGAAAGAAATTGATATATTAATTTCTGAAAAAAGTTCAGCGCCTGAGAGGACATGTGAGATAGCAGTTTAGAAAACATAAATAGGGAAACTTGGGTGGGTTTTTGTTGGGTTTTGTTCGTTTGGTTTGGTTTGGTTTTTTTCAAAAGTTTTCTCCAGTCAGTTAAGAATAAAGAAGGGGTAGGGTTTTAAATATTTTTAAAATAGAGATTAATTTCATGTACTTATAATTTCAGGTACTTATTTGTTGTGAGCTTGACTCTTTGCCTCTAATTTCCAGTTTGATTGACCCTCTGTTCAACTTGTATTTTTTGATCAGTAACAGAAGCAGAAAGGAAGGAATAGGCTCACAAATGAAAAGTGGAATACTGAAAAGGTCAAAGTGGTGCCACCCTGACATGTCACAGAATATATTACATATCAGAATCTGCTCTCATTTTAATGAAGAAGATCCTGTCTGGGACAAAGCATAGCTGGAAATTAAATATTGTACATGACAATGATTGTAAGGAGAATAGGGAATGGTACTTATTCCAACACATTCTTCCATGCATTATTGTTTGAAGACGATTAAATTTATAGAATTTTCTACTCCCATTACAAAGTTAATCAATGATACCACTATAATCAATTTGGCATCGTGACGAAATAATTTTGGTACATTGGCCAAAGGAATGAATTCATACAAAATGATAATGCTTAAGAGTTTAAGCATTAAACTGAGAGAAACTTGACTCACTGAGAGAAACTAAAAAGGGGAAAAGAAGGAAGCACATTTTACCAAGTCCTCATTAAACTGTCATGCTGAATATTGCTCTTCTATTTACTTTGCTGTTAATGATGTTTGCAAAATAAATGTTGGAAAGTCTCTAATCAGACTTCTTTTAATGGTTCATTCCCCCTGCTATTAGACACCAAATGAATTTACCATCAGAGAGAAAAATCATGGGATCCTTTTCACTTTTTTACAGAATACAAAAATATTTGCTTCAGAAAAATCTCTTTGGGGTCAGAATACTTGCTCAGTTAGTGCAATGTTTGTACTGGAAAATGTAACAAATCCACAAATAGTATATGAAATGCTACATGACAGACTTTATCCCCATTAGTGGTCAATGAAAAAGTGGCACAAGCACTGATGGGTACTGGCAGTGAAACACTTATGAAACTATCAGAAGAGGAGGTAAAAATGATAAAGGCGGGGAACTGTAGCTGATCATTAAGAATAGGTGAGGAACTTCAGCATTGCTTGTCCCTTTTTTCCATGTAATTCGGTTTTGCATGTCTTGTCAGAGGTGTAAAGAAGACAGCAAAGAGGATTTAGGACCAAATCTTTGAGCCAAAATGACATAACTTCATAGCAGCTTTACCCCAGAAGAGAATGGTGTACTTAATATCAGCGTGTACACTTGAATGCTTGTTTTTAGGAACAGGGTTTTGCAGTTTTACCTACTCCCTTTATCCTGGTATTTTGCAGTTAATAGCATTTTTCTGAGAAGGAACTGCAGTTACTTTATGATCCTTCATAATATTTTACCATTACAGTCACATTGATAATTATATACCTAATTGTAATGAATACATATGCTGAATGAATGCTACAGTAGCTTTATTTAAATTGTTTCAGACT